AAACGAATCTGACACACTTCTTGATCAGTATAAGTGTGCCGACAAACCATATAAACAGTAATAACTCTCCATTCATAGGTGTCAAACGATTATCTGGCACACTTTGTAATCAGTATATTTTTGTCGACTAACCATATATACAGTAACGAATTTGTAGGTGTCAAACGATTATCTGACACACTTCTTGATCAGTATATTTGTGCCAACAAACCATATACTGATTAACAAATTTATAGGTGTCAAACGATTATCTGACACACTACATGATCAGTATAGTTGTGCCGACATACCCCATAAACAGTAATAACTCTCCATTTATAGGTGTCAAACGATTATCTGACACACTTCATGATCAGTATATTTGAGCCAACAAACCATACAAACAGTAGTAACTCTCGATTTATAGGTGTCAAACGATTATCTTACACACTTCATGTTCAGTATATTTGTGCCGACAAACCATATATATATAGTAACAAATTTATGTTTGTGAAACGATTATCTGACACACTTCATGATCAGTATATTTGAACCGACAAACCTTATAAACAGTAGTAACTCTCCATTTATAGGTTTCAAACGATTTTCTTACACATTTCATGATCAATATATTTCTGCCAACAAACCATATAAACAGTAACAACTCTCCATTTATACGTGTAAAACGATTACCTAACACACTTCATGATCAGTATATTTGTGCCGACAAACCCCATAAATAGTAATAACTCTCCATTTATATGTGTTAAACGATTATCTGACACACTTCATGATCAGTATATTTCTGCCGAAAAACCCCATAAACACTAATAACTCTCCATTTATAAGTGTCAAACGATTATCTGACATACTTCATGATCAGTATATTTCTTTCGACTAACCATATATATATACAGTAACAAATTTATAGGTGTCAAACGATTATCTGACACACTTCATGATCATTATATTTGTGCCGACAAACCATATATTGAATAACCAATTTTTATGTGTCAAACAATTATCTAACACACTTCGTAATCAGTATGTTTGTGTCGACTAACCATATATACAGTAACAAATTTATAAGTGTCAAACGATTATCTGACACACTTCATGATCAGTATATTTGTGCCGACAAACCATATATTGAGTAACAAATTTATATTTGACAAACGATTATCTGACAGACTTCATGATCAGTATATTTGTTTCGACAACCCATATATATAATAACAACTCTCCATTTATACGTGTCAATCGACTATCTAACACACATCATGATCAGTATATTTGTGTCGACAAACCATATATACAGTAAAAAATTTATAGGTGTCAAACTATTATCTGACACACTTCATGATCAGTATATTTGTGCCGACATTCCTCATAAACAGTAATAACTCTCCATTTATAGGTGTCAAGCGATTATCTGACTCACTTCATATCAGTATATTTGTCTCGACAAACCATATATACAGTAACAACTCTCCATTTGTATGTGTCAAACGATTATCTGACACACTTCATGATCAGTATATTTGTGCCGACAAACCATATATTGAGTAACAAATTTATTTGTGTCAAACGAATCTAACATATTTCATGATCAGTATATTTGTGTCTGTGTGTGTGTATTTTGTGGGGGGGATATGACATAATAAATTATTTTCTCAGTGATAAGAACGAGGATCCCCTTTTTTGTATCATTTTAAGTTTTGTCCTATTTTAAAGAGTTTATAACTATAATTTTTTTCGGTGCTACAAGTTTAAAGTAACCTTAATGCCCTGAATATTCTAGCGTGTTTTTTAATGATACATTTTATTCTAAGAACTGCCGTTTATTCCTGACATGACGAAAATCAAACAATATATATGACAATTACCAGTTTTTAAAAGAAATTTTATACACACTTTTTCAGTTATGATTTTCTTATCCTTTCTTCCTCTTCTGCAACTTAACAGACACCTTCCGTGATTGATAACTTCCCTTATCTATCCAATGTTTTACTTCCTTTTCCATTTCACAATCTTGTTTTGTCTTCTGCTACTCTATTTCATACCATTTGCATTGGAAATTTGTACACCACCTTCACAATTTATTGCTTTCTTTGCCAGTACAGGTATTGGATGAATTAAGAACGAACTTTTTCGTCGAAGAACTATTATCATTGTTGTGTTAGTAAAAGAAGCAGCTATCGTGACAAATAAAATAGTTGTAACTTATTAGACTATAAAACAAAAATATTTCTTAATATACAGTTTTTCTGTTGGGGTTGTTATCCGTTAGACTTCAGGAAATAATAACGATAAATTACTTTCTTCAGAATTTCTTTACTTTCACAGAAATAGCCTTCAACAGTGTGTAAATTATTTATACTGTATAATATACAATTACAAATAGAACTGAAAAGTAAATGGCTATTTTTAGACTAGAATCATTAATGAAATTTCACAAGAAAATTGGTTATATTGTTAAGATTCCATTCTTAAAATACATTGTTTGTTGATGGCATAATTTACCCTATCAGGCCTCATTTAGAAGTAATTTCTTTCAAGTTCTTGATGTTGATAAAGAAAACATAAATGAATCAATTTTTTTAATAAAGTAATTAGCATTTTTCCAAAGGAAACTATGGAAGTCATAATATTCTAACAACTGCTATGTCAAAATCACCATAATTTTGATATTTGAAACACACTTAAATTACTTTAAAGTAGTATTATATAACTTTTTAACGCATACTCTGCTGTAAAATAATTACTAAAATGAATCCATGCTTAAAGCTTCCAATATAATTCGTAATCAGCTTTTTTCGTTCATTTCCCCAAATATTCAAAAATTAATAGTTTGTTTGTAGTTTAAGCATAAGGCTACACAGTGGGTTATCTGTGCTCAGCCCACCACGGGTACAGAAACCCGGTTTCTAGTGTTGTAAGTCCGCAGACATACCACTGTGCCACTGGGGGCAATAAAAAGTTAATAAAAAATTGAAAATTTGAGAATGTATATAATTACCAAAAAACTTGGCGAACACAAATATACACTATCCTACCAAAAATCATTGGGCACACCACTGATTGCCGGAAAATGGGTGTCACGACGAAATATGCAAATATTTTGGCTTCTGAAGGTGATCAACGGTTCGCTTGGAAGTCATTTCGAACTTGCACACTGAGCTATGAGTACAAGGAATAAGCTAACAGAGTTTCGGAGGGAAAGGATAGCTGTATGTGATTTGGGGGAAATGTCTGTACGTACTGTTGCACAAAAATTAAACATTCTTAGGCCGAAAATAGGCAACGTGCTGAAGAAATGGAAGTTCACAGGTAACAATGAGCCCAAGAAACGACCAGATAGGCATAAAATACTAACTGACAGCTGACATGTTACCACATCTCGCTGTCAGACCCTAGGGAATCTGTGTTTGGAGATGCGAGCAGCCACAGGTAATCCTACATGTGCTTCCACGATACATCGAGAGCTGTATGCCATGAATTTTCACGGAAGAGCTGCAGCCCATAAGCCGCTGATAACAAAAACAAATGCACATCGTCGATTGGCATGGGGCAAGGCACACTGAACCTGGACAGTGGATCGGTCCTGTGGAGTGACGAGTCACGCTACACGCTGTTCAAGTCTGATGGACGTGTTTGGGTAGGGAGGATGCCAGGAGAACGGTTATTACTGGAGGTGGAGGTATGATGGTCTGGGGGTGCTTCTCGTGGTATGGACTAGGTCCACTGATCACAGTTCATGGATCCATGAATGCTGAGTCCTACATTGTGGTAATTTTATGGTACCGGCCCTTACACTTTCCAAAATGATAACGCTCCATGTCACAAAGCAAGGATTGTGAACTGATGGTTTGAAGAGAAGAACATCGGAACATTGCAGTGGCCAGCAAAGAGCCCTGACCTCAACCCGATAGAACATCTTTGGGATGAACTGAAACGCAAATTAGGGCCAGGCCAAGATGGCCCTCTTTAGTAGAGCTTACTAATGCTTTAAAGGAGGAGTGGAGCACAATACCACTAGCTTTCTACCAGAAATTAGTAGACGCGTTGAAGCAGTCATTAAGGCGAAAGGCGGGCCAACACGCTGTTAATTTCTTGGAATAAAGACATGTTTTATTCATAACCACCCGTGTCCCACGACTTTTGGTAGGATAGTGTATCTTTAAGAAGTCCTTAACAGCTTAAAGGAAGAACAATAACCATGAATCTATGATTTAATTTCTCACACAGTCCTTACATAAGAAATAATATTTTCTTAATGTCATTTTTAGGAAATAGCCTCATCTTTTTCTTTCTTCCACAAATGTTTGCCCTGTTGAGTCAGCATTAAGTTTTCGGATTTAGAATACTAAAATTCGGGGTTCGCTTCCACGTGATGGACAGAGCGCAGATATCCTATTGTGAAGTTTGGGACTAAAAAAAGAAAAATCTTTCACAAGTTTCTGCCTCACAAAAAAGTAGGCTTAACATCATCCCCCTCACTGTTAGTTCCAATAATTTCGTAAGTACGATTCCAATGATTTCTTAGAAAAGATTTAACTCACTATTCATTCAAATTGAAACTTTTATTTCACATTTATTTTTACCTTGATGGAATTATTTTTGAGAAGAAATATGGAACTTCTATTAATTATAAGATACCTTAAACTATATTTGCATTAAAACGTAGTCAGAACCAAAAGAACATAATACAATATTGAAGAATAAAGGGTAAAAATAAGGATTTTGTGTAAGATATTGGATAATTCTAAACTAAGAAAAAAGAGCTAAATTACGTTTTATGGTTGCAAAATGTAATGAAAGTAAGTATGGTCAATGTTTCTGCCAAAGCATGTTTCATATTTTTATTTAAAACCATATGACCAAAATGCTAATTATTCTTTCCTCTATTTTTTCGGATTGTTTATATTTTTCAACCTGTGTTCAGTTAAGTATTAATATGTGCGAAGAGAAACAAGTTGTATTAATAACTTAGATTTTTTCAAATCTGTCTCACTAGCCTGGACTTTCTTTGACCTACAACGCCGAAAAATCCCTCTCTAGCTTCTGCCAATGGCAATCAACGTTACATGACACCAAGGGCTCTTACTATGACCACGCTGTGCTCTTGACGGGATTGGACATCTGTTCTTGGAAGGATGAACCTTGTGATACTCTAGGTTGGTTTCCGTCATGGAAATGTTTTCTACGTATGTTACGTAACCATGGAAACTAACTGGCTTACCTATGGCAGTTGAGGTAAACCAGTTACGAATAGTGCAATATATTTATCTTTTGTAACTACTTTTAATAATATATTCTTATCATTAGGTGACACTCTATTATTAATCCTGCTGAGCTAATGGTGGGAATATATATTTGATTAATAATAACTAAACACATTCTAAGGAAAAGGCTCTAATATCGTATTTTCATAACTTTTGCAGCTTTTTGGGCTTTAGATATTTGAATAATATTCACCACATTTCACTCAAACCGTTTGTTATTACATTATTTCACTTATAACATTTTTAAGTACGTGATTGTGATGCCAAGGTTAAGGAATTTAGTATTACAGTACTGTTGTTTTGAATCAGAATTATGAGTGATTTAATTAAAGATTACCACATAATTCGAAGGGCAGAGAAAAATGATAGAACAATGTAATAAAGACAAAACTAGTATATTTGTTGTTGCTGCTGTAAAGCTTTACGTAGCAGTTATTATTACTGTTTTTTCTTGAATGATAATAAATTATACTGCTCAAAATTACACTTTACACTTCGGCATACTATGGTTTTTCTTATCCATTATGGACTACAGTGTTTATAGATAATGTTTTTGAGACATAACGAATGGACATTTTAGTTTTCAGTTTACATTTAAAAAATCAGTATTTGTATAGCTTCTCAGCTCCAAATAAATAAACATATTTATGTATAAAACAGTTCAACATTCTTACGTATGTATTTTTGAGAGAATGCGTTGTTGTAGCTAGCCTTTTTGAAACAGGCTTTGCGCCTATAAGTGGGATGTGCAGTACTTACAGAAGTTGTACTATCAACGAGGACAGTGGACTAGCCTTGGCTTTCACAGTTGCTCACGAGATAGGACATAGGTGAGATACTAACACACTAAAGTCTATCTCAATAGCTGTGTTCTTCTGAATATTTAGCTACTGCCTTTGTGTAATTATTCAGTGTGAAAAATTATTTCTTCATAAAAATAAAAAATAAAACTTTTTTGATTTAAACAGCAGAAGTTAATGATTTTATTTTTTCATTGTTAGAGAAATTCATAAAAAAAGGAAAATTATTCAACTGAAAACATTGAGCCATATAAACACTGCCAAAACATCCACTATAGTTAAAATAATTTTTCTTTTTGCTCAGTTTCGGTATGGTACATGACGGAAAAGGATCCAAATGTAAGAACGCCAGAGGGAGCATCATGTCACCTGTGTTAAGTGGACTGGATGGAACTTTCAAATGGTCAGCTTGTAGCAAGAAGGAGCTCACCAAATTCCTGGAGTAGGGAGCCATCTTGGACCTAGGGTGAACGGGATAGATAAATCACATTTATAGACACATGGGTTTGAGGTGGACTTGGGTATATGGATTAAATGAACTGTATCGTCATGCACAAGGGTTAGAAGTGGACTTGGGTATATAGACTAAATAGACTGTATCGTCAAACGAATAGGTTTGAGGCGGACATGGATTTATAGACTAGCTAGACTGTATCGTTAGGCACATGGGGTTCACTTTGACTTGTTAGAATTAACCTGAGATGGACTTACTTATGTATGGGCTAGCTAGACTACTTCGTCAGATGTATAACTGTAGACTGTAGAGGCTTACTCCACTATTTTGTCAAACACAAAGTGAGATGAATTTAAGTTTAACACACCAGCAAGATTTCTTAATCGGAAAGAAAGATTGAGATACTATAGGCTAGCTATATGTCATCTGTAGCGTGATAGATTTGGAGGGAACTTTAGTAAATAAGTTAGCTATACTACATCATTATAATGATAGGTTTGGGGTGAACTTTAGTAAATAAGTTAGCTATACTAGGATCATTATAATGATAGGTTTGGGTGAACTTTAGTAAATAAGTTAGCTATACTACATCATTATAATGATAGGTTTGGGGTGAACTTTAGTAAATAAATTAGCTATACTACATCATTATAACGATAGGTTTGGGGTGAACTTTAGTAAATAAGTTAGCAATACGATATCATTATAATGATAGGTTTGGGGTGAACTTTAGTGAATAAGTTAGCTATACTACATCATTATAATGATAGGTTTGGGGTGAACTTTAGTAATTAAGTTAGCTATACTACATCATTATAATGATAGGTTTGGGGTGAACTTTAGAAATAAGTTAGCGATACTAGATCATTATAATGATAGATTTGGGGTGAACTTTAGTAAATAAGTTAGCTATACTACATCATTATAATGATAGGTTAAAGGGTGAACTTTAGTAAATAAGTTAGCTATACTACATCATTATAATGATAGATTTGGAGTGAACTTTAGTAAATAAGTTAGCTATACTACATCATTATAATGATAGGTTTGGGGTGAACTTTAGTAGAATAAGTTAGCTATACTACATCATTATAATGATAGGTTTGGGGTGAACTTTAGTAAATAAGTTAGCTATACTATATCATTATAATGATAGGTTTGGGGTGAACTTTAGTAAATAAGTTAGCTATACTATA